TATTTTAACAAACAGATATAGTATGTTGGTTTATGCATGTAACTCTAGCTCTGTAGAAAGCATAGGTAGGAGATTAGAGTCCAAGACCAGGCTAAGGTAAAAAAAAAAAATGAAGCCCAACCTGAACAATAACTAAAACAAAAAGGACTGAGGGCATGATTCAACTGGTAGAGGCTTTTCTAGCAAGAATAAGATCCTGAGTTCAAATCCCAGCATAACAACAACAAAATTCTCAAGAAAGTATATTTTTTAAAGAAATTGAACAGTATATTAAAAAAATACACATAATGACACTATGGGATTTATTTCTTGGTGGATGTTTTCTTTTATACACAATCACTATGATGTCACTTTAACAGAATGAAGGATTTTAAAGGTGTTCATCTCAAATAATTTTATACAAACAAGGGAATATGCATCTATGCAGAATATGTTGCTTTGGCCCTGGTTTACTTTGCTTAATAAAACTTTTTCCAAGTTTATATTTCCTTACAAATAGTACAATATCATATATAGTGTGTATATATATGCACTATATATATTACATATATACTTATATATGTACCATATATATGTGTGTGTGTGTGTGTGTATATATATATATATATATATATATATATATATATATATGTCACAGTTTCTTGATCCATTCATCCACTGAGGGACATCTAGGTTGATTCCATATGGTAAACAATGATGCAATAAACATGGTTGTCCTGGTGGCTTTAATGTAGCCTGGTTTGTGGTCCACTGACTAAATGCTAAGGAATGGAATTGCTGGGTCATAGAGAAGTTCTATGTTTAGTCTCTTGAGGAACCTCCATATTGCTTTCCAGAGTGGTTAAACAAATTTACATTCCCACCAACAGTGTAATAGGGTTCCCTTTTGGTCACATCCTGACCAGCATTTGTTATTCTTAGTTTTCCTGTAATAGCCATTCTGACTAGAGTGAAGTGGTTCAATGTTGGTTTGATTTGCATTTCTTTTATGGCCAGAGATGAGAACATGGTTCAAAGAGAATTGTACTGATTGTGCCTGATTAATGTAACTGCAACTCCTTTGTATGTCAACTATGCAAAAAAACAACAAAAAAGCTGAAAAAATTCTTTTTATAAAAACATTTGCCAAATGACTATTAATTCTAAATGAAATCATTTTCTTAATATAATTGCTTATCATTTTGCTATTTAAATTTACTGGTACCATTATCATCAATGAGGAAAATCTAAAGATTTTCCAATAAGATCTGATATACCAAAAAAGCATACACTTACTACTTGAATTCATCATGGTACTGTAAGTAGTAACAACAGTATTCACACAAGACTGAGAAGGACACAAGAAAGAGTTATAGACAGAATTCTGTATAGATAAGTGTGTGTGTTTATACATATATACATCTGAATTTTCAAGCAATTATTCTAAAAATGAATAAATGAATCAATAAATTAAAAGACACAAAATCCAGAAAATCAGTTTTTTATAGACAAGTAATTAATGGCCTACCTAATAATTCAAGAAAACAACTTAAGTTCTGATAGCATCAAAAAGGTGAAATACTTAGGTATTAATTTATCCATGAGGAGTGAAAGATTTTTACACTAAAATCATAAAACCTTAATGAAAGATATTGAAGAAGCAAGTAGAAAGATATCCTACACTCATAACTCAAAAATAATATTATAAAACAGTTATACTACCAAGACTACATACAGATTCAATAAATCCTTATCAAACAATGGTATTCTTCAAAGAAATTTAAATCTAACATGAATATGGAAGCAAAGTGACCCACAAATAGTTAAGGTAATAAAAAACAAAAATAAAAACAAAAAAGTTACAGTTCTCATATTCTCTAATTTTAAACTGAGTAAGAAAAAACCCTAGTAATCAAAACAATATAGTATTGTCACAGAACAGAAAGCCCAGAGAAAATGTCAATGTATACAAGCCAACTAATTCCTGACAAGGGCACCATTAAGAGACACTGGGGAAAGGGTGCACTAATGGTACTAAGGATATTGAATTTCCAAGTGAAAATGAATGCTATCAGAAGTTTACTTACGTTCTACACAAATATCAACACAAAATCAATAAAGACCTAACACAAGACTAGAAACTTTAAAATTCCTATAAAAAATCCTCAAGAAAAACTTAAAATCATTGTTCTTGGTGATATTTTGAATATCACAGTAAAATCCCAAACCATAAGATTAAAACTAAATAAATAGGTCTACATGAAACTAAAAAAAAGAAAGAAAAATGAAAAGAGAAACAATTCATTAGATTCCTATTCACTGTTAATAAATATTTGCATAGCATATTATCTTATAGGGGATTACTATAAAAATTTACAAAAACACTCAATAGTAGAAAAATAACACAATAAAATGGGCAAAGGAAGCAACACGGAAGAAACTTGAGGTTATTGCATGTGGTAAAATAAGCAGAAAGACAGGTACCACGCATGTTTCCATTCATTTATGGAAACTGAATCAATCTCCTAAAAGAATAGATGGAATAGGGTCACAGACTAGAAAATGGAGAGAGCAAGAAGATGAAAAGAAGTTAAATAAGGAGCAATCCAACACATTCAGCGCTAAGAAATTAGTTCTGATATTTCTATTACATGCTAGAGTAACTATGGTTTAAAGCCACTTAATAGATTTCAAATGACAAAAGAAAATGCAAAATTCTCAGCTCATAAAAATGTTAATTGTTGAAAAGCTGGATATGCTTATTACTTTGTGTACATATACATTGTGTACATATATTGAATTACCAAAACATATTTCATAAAGATGGGCATATTTTTATTTCAATAAGAAGTAGCAAAAGACCTCATTCTCTTAAGAAGACATAAAAAAATGGCCAACATAAATAGGAATTTCAGCACCTCATCATGGAAATTTAGCCAAAACTCTTATAACTGAGTATTTATTAAGAAGTTTAAAGATAAAGCAATTCTGTGACTCACCACCTCTTTTGGGAACAGATAGAATATAGCAAAGGAACCCAGTCACTGCCTGGTACAAATACTTGTGCTCCACATTCGCTGCAGCATAAAAAGCACAATGAAAACAGAACACCAAACGGTGGCAAGGGAAGGATACAGGTGAATAGAAATATAGGATGTGTAAAGTGATGTAGACTTCTAAGGTGGACTGTGAAGCTTATCATTAACAATATTACACCATATATTCTATCTAGGCTGAATGAGAAGATTGGATATGAGCTTGCTACTAAAGCAAAATTAATTTGGTAATGTTATGAAATGATAGGTCGGTGAGTTTGCTTCACTGTAATACTTTTTTCTATTTGTCCTGTACCAGAAAGCATCATGGTACATAAACATACAATATAACATTTATTTTAAAAACCAACTGGACAGATGATTCTTAAACCTATTCCTACTTTCCAAGTCTTTATTAAGAAAATTTCAGCCAAGCCGGGCGCTGGTGGCTCACGCCTGTAATCCTAGCTACTCAAGAGGCTGAGATTTGAGGATTACGGATCAAAGCCAGCCTGGGCAGGAAAGACCATGAGACTCCTATCTCCAATAAACCACCAGAAAACTGGAAGTGGTGCTGTAGCTCAAGTCGTAGAGCACTCGCCTTGAGCTGAAGAGCTGAGGGATAGCCCAGAGTTCAAGCCTCACGACCGACAAAAAAAAAAAAGAAAAAAAGAAAAAAGAAAAGAAAATTTCAGCCATATTAAGTGAAGTAACCCAGTCCCAAAGAAATTTAGGTCCCATGATTTCCCTTACTTGCAATAATTAGTATACAATAGGATAATCTTATCAGATGAGCTGAAAAGCTCAAAAACCACGTACAAATGACCATGTAAGATGATGCTAAGTGCAATGAACCCCAAGATTTAGACACAAGAGGTCTGTCTTTATTGTTATTGTTTTAAATGTACCATGTGATTTTATTTTGTTGTTGTTGTTTCCTTTGTATGTTCTTTCCCCTGTGGCATATCCCCTGTTGTCACTGTACTGGATTTTGGTACCCTGCATCTTATATATGCATATGTCTAATTTGGGGAGGGGAAGGGGAATAACAAAACACTAAAACAAGGACACAGGATGACCCACTGCAACAAGGATACAAACAGGACAATATATTGGAAACGAACTTTACAACTTTGGGTATGGGGGTTGGGGGGGTGGATGGGATGGGGTGGGAAGGAGTGTCCGAGGTGGGGGAGGGAAGGGTAGTGGGACAAAAACAAGGAAGGGAAGGGGTAACAATGCTTGACAAGAAATGTACTCATTGCCTTACTCATGTAACTGTAACCCCTCTGTACAGCATCTTTACAATCAAATGAAATCAAATCAAAAACTATTCCTACTTTAACTGTTTAAAAGGATATTAAACCATTTGCAAATTAAAAAAAATTTAATAACCTGCAGTTGCAATAATTTTGTACATCACACAAAAATATCTACAACATTTGCATACATAGTCTTTTACATGCTCATAGAGATAGGCCAGACTCTATGAAACACACAAACAAAAAATTCCTACTTTTGCCTACATTTTCTAATTTCAAGCCTTACCCAAATATTTTCCAAATTTCAGTTAGGAAACAAAATGAAGCAAAAAACTAGAGACTAAGGTGTGTGGCTCACCTGGTAGAGCTCCTGCCTAAGAAGTTTAAACACCGAATTAAGTTCTAGTACCAAAAACATCAGGTAAGTAATTGAAGATTGACAGACTGAATGTAATTGTCTTTTTCCCAATGTTCTCCTGCTAAACTGCAAGCTTTCCTTGACTGAGGAATGGCGGTCCAGTTGGTGAGTGACATAATATTCTAATTGGATTCCTATGCATTGTCTGCACCTTGAATTTTATCTTAACTTACATACTTCTTTCTTTCTTTTCATATTCTTTCCTTTTATGTCCATAGGTTGCTTTTGTTCATGAGCTCATTAGAGTTCAAAATCACAACATGCTGAAGAAACATCATTAATATATCCACTACTTATTGATCATACCTTGAGAATTTTGCACATAATCTCATAAACTGAGAATGTTTTCTCTGCTCGAGTCCAGTCCCAGGTGGTCACCTATAAGAGAAGAGAAAATAATGCTATTTGTTTTAGAAAAGTCGATCTTATTCTCTTCTTTAGTTCATTGCTATATTAGGGTGATACTTTAATATGCTATAATAGTGATGCTTTCACAGACTTCATTTCATGAAGTCACTCCCATGTTTCAAATAATTTTTGGTTTCCTCTGATTTCTAATCTTTTCTTGGGGTGGGGCATTTCATTCTTTAATATATACTTTTTCCAATTTTTGTATATTAATTGTGCAATGCCAATTGTACAATTGTGATTTCCATAGATACACAGAATATATTTTAATCATATTCCTTTTTTCTATTACTCTTTCTTATTCCTCCCTACTTTCCCCCATTTAATAAACATGTTTCTTTTTGTCTTTTCTCTTCTGGTATTGAAGATTGAACCCAGCCCTGAATTTGGCAGTTCAGCGTTTTGCCATTGAGGTACTTATACTTCCAAAATGTGCTTTTTAAAGTAGGTTTCACTATCACACATTCATAGTTACATACAATATATTTGGTTTGTCCCTTCCCCATAATATAACCCCTGTTTTCACTGTATTTGATGTTGGTATAATTTGGGGAGGGGAAGGGAAAAAAATGTTTAAATAGGGATACAGATTGACCCATTGCAACAATGAGACGTACAAGATGCTATGTCGAAAAACGAACTTTACAATTTAGGAGTGGGGTAGGTGGGGTAGGGGGGGATGAGAAGGTGGGGGGAGGGGGGAAGGGGGTAGATGAGGAGGTGGGAGGGACAGAATGGCAGGGGAAAACAAAGGAGGAGGCAATAATGCTGGATAAGAAATGTACTCATTACCTTGCTCATGTAACTGTAACCCCTCTGTACAGTAATTTCACAATAATATATATATATTTATGTATTTGGATCATATTAATCCTCACTCTCATCACTCTCTCTTTCCACCTACCAACCTCCTTCTGCTTGTTCCCTCCAAAACAGTCTGTACTCTACATTCAAGTTTTTGTTTTTACATTTGAATCTGATTATGAAGATTCGTCTTTTTGAGTCTAACTTATTTCATTTAACAAGATCTCCAGGAAGTGGCCCTGTGGCTCAAGTGATAGAGCACTCACCTTGAGCTGAAGAGCTCAGGGACAGCGACCAGGTTCAGAGTTCAAGACCCACGACGTCCCCTCCCCCCCCAAAAAAAATCCATGAAACAAGATCTCCAGTTGCACCCACTTACCTGGTGTTATGTAATTTCCTACTGAAATAGGGTTGAATAGCACTGCATTGTGTATATGTGCCACTTTTATCTATTATTTTTTGATGAACCACCTGGCTGATTCCTAAAGTTAGCTATTATGAATAGTTCAGCATAAATATGGTTGTGCAAGTGTCCCTATTGTAGGCCTATAAGTATGTCTTTGGATATATACCTGGGAACGATATAGCAGAATTATATGATAGTTTTCTATTTTTAATTTAAAGGAACAATCCTTCTGATTTACACTGTGATCATGTTACTTTACATTCCCCTTAACTGTGTATGGGGATTCCTATTTCCCAGTGTCCTAGCCAACAGTCACTTCTTTGTTTCAATGGTAGCCATTTTGATTGGCATAGAAGAAATTTCAAAAGTCTGATTTGCATTTTATTTATGGGCCAATTTGCCCATCTGTTAATTGGAGTTTTTTGGTATTTAGTTTTTTCAGGTCTTTATGTATTCTGGTGAGTAATCCCTAGTAATGCTATATGTAATGGATAGCTGGGAAAGATTTTTCTCCCATTCTGTTGGCTGTATCTGGAGTTTGGTAACTATTTTCCTTGTTATGAAGAAACTTTCAAACTTGCTGCAATACCATTTCTCAGTTTCTACTCTTATTTCCCGATCAATTGGAGTCCTATTCTGAAGGTCACTGCCTGTGACATTGTCTTTAAATGTTCCCCTGTGCTTTCATAGGAGCTTCAGAGTTTCAGGTATTGCTGGGTGCCAGTGGCTCAGGCCTGTAATCCTAGCTACTCAGGAGGCTAAGATCTAAGGATCACAGTTCAAAGCCAGCCAGGGTAGGAAAGTCCATGAGACTTTTACCTTCAATTAGCCACTACAAAACCAGAAGTGGAGCTGTGGCTCAAGCGGTAGAGTGCTCACCTTGAGCTGAAGAGCTGAAGGACAGTGCCCAGAGTTCAAGCCCCATGACCAACAAAACCAAACAGAGTTTCAGGTATTACATTTATGTCTCCAATGCATTTGAATTGAGTTTATACAGGGTGAGAGATAAGGATGTCGTTTCAGTCATCTCCAGTTTTCCCAACACTAGTGTGGAAGAGTCCATCTTTTCTACAGTGTAAACATTTAGCATCTTTGTCAAGAATTAAGTAACAGTGTCATCTTAAGCTTATTTCTTGATCTTCTGTTTTGTTGTTGTGCTGGTATTGCTTTTGTTACTATGACTCTGCTATACAATTTGAATTGAAGTGTTATGATACTTCCAACATTATTCGTTGTGCGGTGGCCTTCTTTGGCAACTTGAGAACATTTATTTGTCAACATAAAGTTTAGCATTTTATTTCAACTACGAAGAATGTCATTGAATTTTGGTGATGATTGTGTTAAATCTGTAGCCACTTTGAGCAAAAAGCCATGTTTTCAATATTAAATTTGATGATCTACAAAGCAAATTAGATTTTTCTGTCTTCTTCAGTTTTTCAGTGTTTTGTGATTTTCACTGGACAGCTAATTCACTACCTTAAGTTTTTATGTCTACAAATTTTATTTTATTTTATTATTATAACTATTATTTTTTTGTTGGTCGTGAGGCTTGAGCTCTGGGCCTGGGAGCTGTCCCTAGCTCTTCAACTCAAGGCTAGCACTCTACCACTTGAGCCACAGTGCCACTTCTGGTTTTCTGGTGGTTAACTGGAGATAAGAGTCTCATGGACTTTCCTGCCTGAGCTGGCTTTGAACTGTGATCCTTAGATCTCAGCCTCCTGAGTTGTTAGGATTACAGGCATGAGCCACTGGCACAAGCTACAAATTTATTTTTAAAAGCTATTGGAAATGAATTTGTTTTCTTGCTTTTTCAGAGTATTTGTGATTTATATATAGAAACGCTACTGATTCTATATAACAATCGTGCTAAAATATTACAAATGTTTATAAGATCTAAGAGTTTTCTGGTGGGACATTTAATCTTTTGAGTATTTGACCATATCAGCTGCAAAGAGGCCTATTTTATTTTTTTCCTTTTCCCACTTGTATCTCCTCTACCTAGGAACTTAAGTACTTATATTGATTAAGAAAAGGGAGAATAGAAAGTCTTATCTTTCTTTCAATGAAAATGTTTTCACCTTTTTCCCATTTATTACAAAGTTGCCTATAGGCTTGTCATATGTATCCATTTTAATGAGGTATTTCTAGTTCATTTTGCGCTTTTATTCTGAAAGTGTACTGAATTTTATCACTGCACTTTTCTGCATCAGTTAAAATAATCATGTGATTTTTTTTTCTCCTTTCTGCTACTGTGTGAGATATAGTAATCTACTTAAGGTTGATCCAATTTTGCATTCCTGGAATGAACTCAAGTTGATCATGGGGCATAATCATTCTAATATGCTATTGAATTGGATATAAATATATTTTATTTAGAATTGTAGGTCTATGACCATCAATTAAATTGATTTCTTATCTTTTTGGGTGTTCTTATCTGGATTTTCTTATCAGTAATAATGACATCACAAAATGAATTTGGCAGCTTTCTGTCCCTTTTTATTTCATGGGATAATTGAGGAACATAGGTGTTAATTCTTCATTAAATGTTTGATTGTATTCAGCTGTGAATCCATCAAGTAAATCCTCAAATTTTACTTCTTCAATGTCATTATCTGTTATAAACATTTTAATTTGTTTATATCCTCTAGGCTTAATTTTGGTAGATCATATGTATCTAGATATTTATGTATTTCCTCTAGAGTTTGCCAATTATTTTGAATGTGAATTTCAAAAAATACCCTGTACCTATGTTAATTTGGGTCTTCTCTGTCTATTTTAATTTTTGATCTAAAACTTGATTTATCTTCTGTATCTATCATTTCAAGAGCCAGTTCTTTGCTATATTAATTGTTATATTATTCTCTTCATGTTCATTTCATTAATTACCACTCTCATTTTTATTAGATTTTTACATCTGCTAAGTTTGTAGTTAGATTGGCCTTATTTTTCTAAGATTTGGAAGTCTATTATTAGGCTATTTAAGATCTTTGTAATTTTTTAATACAAATATTCACAAAATCCCTTTACTGCATAGTACAGGTACAGATTTCTTGTGTTTTTATTTTCATTTGATTCTAAAAAGTTTTACATTTCTTCCCTTATTTCTTTGAGGAACGACTGAAAATTCAAAAGTTTAGTGTTCAATAGCAATGCTGTTTGTATAGATCCTATATGCATTCTTGATATTGTTATATAATTGATTTGTCATTTTTATCTGGTGAATAAAAACATATAACTTTAATTTTCTTGAATTTTTTAAGATTTCTTTATGCCCTAAAATGTGATATATTTTGGAAAAGGGCAATCACTATTAGGAAGAATGTATATTCCATTGCTGTTGGAAGGAATGTGCTGTAGATATTAATTTGATTAGTGGTGTAATTTAATTCTAATGTTTCTTTATTACCTTTTTTTTCTAGAACATGCATCTGTTGATAGGAGTTGGGTAATGAAGTCACTGTAATTATTGTCTTTGAAATCTATCTGTGTCTTTTTATACAATAATGTTTGTTTCATGAAATTAGATCTAACATAGTTATATGTGTATGAATGTATTACTATTGTTTCTTCTCTTTGCATTGTTCCTTTATTAATATGTTACATACTTTATCTCTTCTGACTGATTTTTTCTTGAGGTTGGATTTGTCAATTAAATATAGCAATTCCTAATTATTTAGCTCCTATTTGATTAGTACATTTCTACCAATCCTTTCACTTTCCATTTTTCCACTTTTACTTGTAGCCAACGAAGACCAGACTTTGTTTTAATCCAATCAGCCAAACCACGTCTTTTAGTTGATAGTTACAGTGATTTAAATTTGAATTTGAAAAGTATGTTTTAGTTTTAATAATTTCCTTGTATTTTCCCTGGATTGATTTGAGCATTGTTCATTTACTTCACCATATTGATATTAGGAATTTACTGGTTTATAAGTTGAACATGTTTTATTCATTTATTCTTATTCACCTTTCTATTTCTCATATGAAACATTTTTGTCCCTGAGCTCCCATGTTGGTGATTGTTTCTTTCTTATCAATGTGTAGAATTCCTTCAAGTGTCTTCTGCAAGGCTGGCTTAATGATCACAAATTCCTCTATTCTATACATACGTCTAAAAGTCTTTATTTTTCCATCAATTTTAAGCTATAACTTTCCTGGATATAAAGTGTTGAGTGTCAGCTATGTACTTTTAGAGTGTGAACTATTCACTATGAACTCTTCTGGCTTTCTGTGACTCTCGTTAGAGGCTGATGTAATTCTCATGCATTTGCCATTCTAAGTAAAATGGCAATTTACTTTTCTTTCAGGCATCAGTATTCCTTCCTGTTTTACTGTTCATTGACTGCAGTATGACGCAGAGAAGTTCTTCTCAAATCATTTCAATTTGGGGTCTAAATACTTCCTTTACAAGGAGCCCCAGATCACTCAGATTTGGGAATTTTCTGATATAATTTCATTGAATATATTTTCTTTGCTTTTCATTTTTATTTCAGCTTGTTTTTCTACCTGACAGACTGTTAGATTTGATTCCTTGGCCATTTCTCTGTGTTTTTGAAACATTGTGCCTGTTATTTGGACAAATCAGTTTGTCTTAGCTATCATAGTAAGAATTCCTTATTGCCTATACTTCTGAACGGTCCATTTGCAACCCTCTTACTTCTCAAGATAATCTCCTATGACTAAGCCTTATCTAAGCACTACAGGAGACCTCCCTCAGATTCTCTGACATGCTATTTTCCATGTCATTTTCCCAGAGTAATTGAATCTCAAATAGGCCCTCTCTTATGATAGTACCCAACTAGATATCTCTGAGATGTGGATAGCAACAAAAATGGATCTCTTCTCCAATTCTGACCAATCTCATAGAAGTCACTGCCATATCAGAACTCCACAATGGGTTCAAGACTTGTAAGAAATGCAAGTTTATCTTGTGGTTAGCACTGACAGTGGTATGTTGTTCTGCCTGGCTTTCTTTGTGGCTTTTGTTTTCAGATTCCCTTCATTATTTGAGAGCTGGCATTGGAGATCTGGGCTGTTTCTTGTCTCTGATTAGCTTTCTTGTTTCTGTGCTTCTCAGCTGTCCTGTCACCTCTGTCATGATTTCAAATGCATTTTCTCTTTCTCTCTCAGAAAAGAGTCTATCCTTTGTTGACCTAATGCCCAGAATCACATGGGAGAAGCTTCTTTCTGTGCTGTCTTGGTCCAGAAAGCGATACTAGGCTTTATTACCATTTATTGTAGCATTTATTTTAGTAAACACTTTTATTTGACATAAAATGCTGTCTGCCAAAACTATGTTACTGTATATGTTTTAAATGATGTGTAATCTCCATAAACATAATTAATGAGAAATTGTTTCACAAATACTTAGTAGTTGGGCCAAGTTAAAAACAGAAGGATGTGAAATATCCACACTGGCTTTGATAAAAATATGATTTATGTTAAGAAAACAGTCTATGATGCTTTATGACATTGTAAAGACATCAATAATGCAAATAAGTTGATGCTCTTCAACTTCAAGACAACAGCAAGTCAAGCTTGAAAATTCCTAGGCTTTGTGGATTATCAGATCTGTCAGTGCATGCTCTGTCATTTAGTATTTATATTCAATAAATATTTATTGAGTGCTTACTGTTTGGTAGGGTACATATTTCTGAAAGTAAGATGTTTGATACAACACATAAGCCTACATGTTGTACAAATTCCACTGACTAGAACTTAGAATATAATAGACTAATGACATGACTGTTTTGGCTTAAAGATACTGAGACAACATAGGTAAACATATTCTGATAGTTGCAAAGAATAGTTCACAGCTATAGTTTGGACCTTAAGAAACCCTACCCTTATATACTGATGAGTAGGTCTTATGTCTATGGTACTACTGAGAAGTGATGAAACCTTTAGGAAGTAAAGTCTAATGGAAGAAAAGTAGGTTATGAGGGATTCCCTTGAAGGGGATATTAACACCCTTTCTTTCTTTCTCTCTTTCTTTATTTACCTCTCTCTCTCTCTTTCTTTCTCTTTCTTTCTCTCTCTCTTTCTTTCTTGCTTTCTTGTTTCTGGCTGCCATGGAGTAGGAAAACCTTCTCCTTTACATGTTCCAACCATGATGTATTATATCATGACAAGCCAAACAACAGGGCCAAGAAATCAAGGACTAAAACCTTTAAATCAAATTGTAAGCCACAATGAAACTTTCTTCTTGATTCATCTAAGTATTTTTAAAGTAATGGGAACTGAACAACACATAGACTAGAATAAGCTAATGATTTTTTCCAAGCACTATCCTACTCTTTTTAAAACACTATCCTACTCTTCAGGTTTATAATATCATAGAATGGAATATTGACTAAATTTAGATAGACAACATTCATTGTTAAAACAAATTTGAGATTCACTTATTGATAATGATTCAAGTCTAAATGGAAAACTTACTGTTAACAACTAAAAGTTTCAAATACTCTAAAATGGCCCTTTAAAATTTCTTTCAGAAATCATGATAACACGCACCTTGATTAATAATTAACCTTTTTTTAAAATAACACTTTTATTGTAAAAACATCGTAAAGAGGGGTTATAATTACATCATCAAGGAAATAAGTCCATTTCTTATCAAGCATTGTTACTTCTTCCTTTGTTTTCCCTTACCATCCCTGCCATTCCATTTCCACAACTACATTCCCCCCCTGCCAAATTAGTGAAGCTTATTTTTCGACATAGCATCTTATACATCTCACTTTTGCAATAAGTCCACCTGAATCCCTATTTGAACAATTTGCTTTTTCCCTTCCCCTTCCCAAATTATACCAACATAAAATACAGTGAAAACAGAGACAGGGATTATACCATGAGGGAGGGACATACAAAGCAACAAAAAAAATCTCCTTATAAATGCATTAGAAACAATAGCAAGAAAAAAAAAACCACTTGTGTCCTTATCTTGGGGTACATTTCACCTAACATCATTTTATCTGACTTTTTCTAATTGTCTCAGACATCTACTAGTTATTTCAAATAAGGGAAATCATGGGACCTATGTTTCTTTGGGCCTGGCTTACTTCACTTGCCCCATTTGCTAGGAAATGGAAAGACTTGGAAAAATTATATTAATAATTAATTTTTAAAAATCTCACTCCAGGTATACTCAAATGTTAACACAATAGTTTCTTTCATTTTTATTCAATTAATTATGTACACTGGCATAAACTTGTAAATATTTCAAAAATAATTTCCTATGTTTCTCTGCAATTTGTTTCCTTAATTTCTGGGCTAAAAACCAAAACTTCCTCCTAAAATTTTCAAGGATAATAAAAGAAATGTTTAATGCAAGGATAGTTTCTAGTATGAAATATCAGAAAAATGTGTGCTCTTCCAGACTTTCTTCATGATATCTTGCTAATATGCTACTTAGCAATAGTTAAATGATGTCCATCAGTTATGACAATGTTTAAACGCTCTATGCATTTGGATAAAAACACTTACTGGAGGTGCTGGAAACTTGTAAAGACATGAACCCCGCAAGGCGAGAAATGTTGGAGAGTACAATTTGTCTTGCAGGGGGTCCTGCTCCCGCACTTCACACCAACCCATGTAGACTATCTGCAAGAAAAAATTAAATATAAAGAAGGAAAGAAAATCATAATGATACAAAGCAGGTCACAATATATAATGATTATATGTATGTATATGTATAAGTATATACAAAAGTCAGCATAATTGTCAAAACTCATATTTAATCCCTCTAATTGTCAAAACTCAGAATTATTATTGTGTTTTTCATATCTTCTTACATCTCTGATAAAATTAGCAGATTAATTTACAACAAAATTATGCTGCAACAAATTTACTTTTAGTAAGTGAAAGTAAACCTCTTATAAGTATTTATGTTTTACTCAGTTTTTATTAAGTGTTCATTTATGCAAGCTCAATAGCATGGTTTATGTTTCCAGTTTCTGCTATAAAAATATTTACTTATAAAAAAGTCTATTGACTCATTCCATTAGTTTCCAATTAGGGCCATTTCATTATGCAGAAATGTAATCTTCACATAAGAGAGTTAAGTTAGCAAAGGAGATAAGTGAGAGAGACACATCTGGCAGGCCCACACATCCGAATGTCACAACAGATCAGCCCAGAGCTTGACAGAGATGGGCTAATTCTTCATCTCATATGGTTATAGAATATGCGATCATGTTTTATATATCAAGTGTCAATGTTAGCTAATCTTTGCTTCTGGCTATGAGAAATAGTTGGATCAATTTTCAAAAGAAAGCCATGATGTAGGAGCCATTTCTCAATTTTCCATTATTTAACTATTGTGAAAGTCAAACATATGAATAAATATTAATTAAATGAATATGACAGTCTGTGAGATTTATTTAAATTGCATTTTTCTTTTACCAAAACCCCATGTGAGTAGATATACTTCCACCCTTATATAATTTATTTTTATTTTGTGATCGGCAGAATTTTTCTTTTCAGTTTTTCTATGTTGCTGAGTAGCCAATGAAATATTAATACACATGACATGAGTGCATTTGGGCTAGTATCTTGTGCTACTCCCATTTCTTTTTTTGGGGGGGCGGGGAAGTCATGGGGCCTGAACTCTGGGCCTGGGCGCTGTCCCTCAGCTCTTCAGCTCAAGGCTAGCACTCTACCACTTGAGCCACAGCACCACTTCCAGGCTTTTTTCTTTTTGCTTATGTGGTGCTGAAGAATCGAACCCAGGGCCTCATGCATGCAAGGCAAGCGATCTACCACTGAGCCACCTTCCCAGCCCCTGCTACTCCCATTTCTTTAAGAAAAGACATACTTGACCTCAGGTGGAAGATGTGTATTTAAAGAGCTCAAGTGAAAGTCTGCACCCAAACTCTGCTAACTTCTGATTAGTGGCTAATGCCAGACATTAACTCACTTAAAGCAAGAAGTGTTTTGCTAGCAAATCACCTAATTTATGGGTGGAATGTTAGGATAACAATGATATATTTACAATAAGATGTCTGTTCACACATGAATTCCATCTTTTTTTCCGGATACTATGGTTAATTCTACTACATTAATAATTTGCTCATCATCTTACTATCTCAGTATGTATTACAATAACCTTATATGACATAAAAGTCCTGATTTAATGACATAACAAATTGTGATTTAAACAAATTAGCTTAATGAGTGAATGAAAGTATAAATTAGAAAAAGAATTTGAACCAAATTTCTTTGCTCTGTAAATTATGTATTCTTTAATCTCTTAGATTGCTGGTATGTATGTCTAAAATTTATATCATAATAGAACTAGTCATAAAATACAGCTGTAATAATCATTTGGTGTTGCATATATGGTTACATGCATAAAAATCAGATAACCTCATAATTTCAAAGAGAAAGCTTACTAGTTTACCATTTCATAAAGGAAATAACATTATAAGGACACATATATACATATATGTGTGTGTGTGTATATATATATATATATATATATGGATATATATATATATATATATATATATATATACCACAGACACACACATGCACACACACACACACACACACACACATATATGACATATAATGGTCTGTAATATAAGAGGGAATTAATTAGATTTTCCCACTAGTAGTTGTGTTTTATTAAGCAACTTCAGACAACTTAACAACTAAAGTTTCCTTGTAAAGTTAGAAAATAATAATATTCTTAAAGTACTACTTTTTTATAAAATATAGGAAAATAACCAGGAAAATCCACAATCATGTAGAGAAAAATTTATTTATTAATGTAAATATGGACAAATTTTGTCATTAAATTACATTCTATATAGAAAGGTCACATCAGGGAACAAGGTGTTTTTCAGCCTCTCCAGCTGAGAGTACATAAAATGTTAGTGTCCAGGATTCTCAAAATGTGTCTTCTGGGTTTACCAAAAATATTAGATTTTATCTAAAGTAACAGACACCAGCACTCTAACAGTGTTGAGACAAAGGCCATGAAGCCTTTGCCAGAACTAGAGCTACAGCATAAGTCATTGAAATAATCCTGAAATAGACAATTTCACAATTTTGCTTTGGCTTCTTTATTATCTTCAATGATAGTTTCTTAGCATTTAAGTAAATAAAAACCTCTTGGGATGAAAATTACATTCTATTTTCAATACATTTTCATAACTCTCCTGCAGCATAACAAAAATAAGTGAAAAATGAAAAATTAAAACTTGTGGGTTTCTCCTGAAGTATATTGAGAGAATATCACACAGAACAAAAACAATAGAAAATCATACTGAAAAGATCCAGATGTTGGAATATTTGGACATAGAAACCATGCTTGCCACATGCAAGGAGATAAGACAAAGCCAGGCACCAGTGGCTCACACCTGTAATCCTAGCTCCTGAGGAGGCTGAGAGCTGAGGATCACAGTACAAAGCCAGCCCGGGCAGGAAAGTCCATGAATTTATCTCCAATAAACCACCAGAAAATTGGAAGTGGTGCTGTGGCTCAAGCAGTACAGTGCTTGTCTTGCACTGAAGAGCGCAGGGACAGCGCCCAAGCCCAGAGTTCAACCAGAGTTGAAGCCATACGACCGACCAAAAAAAAAAAAAAAGAAGAAGAAGAAGAAATAAGACACAGCTTGAAATATTCACCAGGAAAAATTATAAAGTGCTTTACTTATAAATTAGACAAGTATATATTTAAAATTTATACTTGGGGTAAGCAACTAGTTTAAAAAATTGAAGAACTAGAAACATTCTTTATTTTAAAATTTCTAAAAAAATTTCTACACAGCAAAAGTTGGATAAAAACTAAGAGGAGAATAAAAGAAAATAGTTACAATTAGAGTTTGAAATGCTTTTGAGTTTCAAGAGATAGAAAAAAATGATAGAAGACAGTTAAAGAATTGCAATAAGAAAAGTTTCTAAAATTCATAAAAAGGGTTAACCTACTGATAGTCACAATAGGGTACTTCATCCTGAGTCTTCAGAAAACCAGTGTAAACAATACATATTAATATGGCAAAGGCTGGGAATGTGGCTTTATAGCAGAGTGCTTGCCTTGCATGCATGAAGCCCTAGGTTCAATTCCTCAGTACCACATAAAAAGAAAAAGCTGTCAGTGGCCTTGTGGCTCAAGTGGTAGAGGGTTAGCCTTGAGCACAGAGAGGCTCAGGCACAGTGTCCAGGCCCCAAGTTCAAGCCCCAGGACAGGCAAAATAAATAAATAAAAACAACCAACCAAACAAATAAATAAATGGCAAAAATTCAGAAAAAATATTACCTTTAAAAATTTATATGTGGTTTACCAAGACACATGTGGTTTACCTGACATGTGTAACTGTAACCTCTCTGTATATCACCTTTACAGTAACAGTAAATTATATTTTAAAAAAATCCAATGTATAGCCTACAAAAAGAAGAGTAAGTGAAGGAGCTTGTAGGGGAGAAATGGGTGAGAATGTCAAAAGGGGTGACATAGAACAAGATAACTTAACTCTAGATAACTTAACTGCTTTGTTAAATGACAACTCTTGTACAATTACTTAAAGTTATTTAAAATAAAAAAGATATTCAGCTCTGTTTTAGGAGGAAAATAGAAATGTACCCATTACCTGACTTATGTAACTGTAACTACTCTGCACATCACATTTACAACAACAATATTTTTTTAAATGACATGTATGTGAATGTGTGTGTGTGTTCATGTATACGTGCAGTGTATATAAACTCAGGGCTTTGTGAAAGGTACACAACCACTCACCACTAAGCCATATCCCAAGGCCAAATATTACATTTCTATGAAATACTAAATTGATACAATTACACTGACAACTGCTTTCTCAAAAGAATAAAAGGTAAGGCAGCATATCATTCAAGTTAAACTTTAATGAATCGAATGAAAAAGAGAGCCAGACTAGATTCTATATACAATAGAATTTGCAGGCGAGATTCAGATTTAATAATAGGTAGACACTTGAAGTGATAAAGTCAACATTGAAGAACCCAACATAATGGATGATGCAGAGACTCAGATGCTAGAAATATGAAAGAGAATGAATATAAAAAATTTGCATAGATTTGTTATTATAACATGACAAAAGCATTCAAATTCAGTAGAAAGTAGTTTTGGACAAAGTAATCTCAGTTATTTGAAGATGACATAAGCTACATTTAACATTATATTTTAGTAGTCACAGATATATTTTGAAAGTAACTTCTGTAAAAGTGTTAATCTCCAAATTAATCTCTGTGTAAAGCTCTAAGAGAATAAACTTCAGTAGTAAAGCTTTTTTGAACAGGTTCCCCATAATATATTTCTTAATTTCAGTGGCAATAATGGTTTTCTTGTTCATTCCTAGGTTTCTACCACTTGAACCATGCCTCTAGTCCAGAATTTTGCTGGTTAATTGGAGATGGAGTCTTTTTTTCTTTTTAAAATAATTTTTATTGAGATTAAGTGATTACATAAATTTCACAAATTTCACAGCATTGTGAGATAATGATACTTAGTAGAAGTCACAAACACATTTTAACCTTCACAAGGCAAATTGTCATTATCATGGTCTATAATGTTTGTGAATTCTATGAGCTTTGACAATACAACTATTTCTTCCACATTG